CGTTTAAAGGTCGCTGGCGCACATTACTGACTCGCTCAGACCTCAGCCAAACCTAATATTCCCATTGTTATTGCTGCTTGCTGTGTGCTCCACAATCTCTGGTGAAAGTAAGGGGGGAGGACCGTTTAGTGGCGGGGGGGGGGGGGGCGTGAGGCAAATCGCCTGGCTGCTGATTACGTGCAGCCAGACACGAGGGCGATTAGAAGATCACACCAGGAAGCACTGTGCATCAGAGAAGCTTTGAAAACCAGTTTCATGACTGGCCAGGCTACCGTGTGAAAGTTCTGTTTGTTTCTCCTTAATGAAAACCTGCCCCCTTTATTGACTCATTCTCTGTAAGGAACCCACACTCCCCCTTTGATTACAGCTTGCTTTCAAAGGAAATAAAGTCACTATCATTTAAAAATCATTTATTCTTTATTAATTGATTATAAAAAGAGGGAGAGAACTGACAAGGTAGCCCGGGTGGGGTTTTGGAGGAGGATCGGAGGGAAGGAAAAGGCCACTAAAAAAAGGTTAAAATAATGACAGCCTTTTGCTTGGGCTGTCCACTGGGGTGGAATGGGAGGGTGCTCAGAGCCTCCCCCCCCCCCACGTTCTTACACGTCTGGGTGAGGAGGCTATGGAACATGGTGAGGGGGGAGGGTGGTTATACAGGGGCTGTAGCAGCACTCTGTGATCCTGCTGCCGTTCCTGAATCTCTACCAGACGCCGGAGCATGTCTGTTTGATCACACAGCAGCCCCAGCGTTGCATCCTGCCTCCTCTGATCTTCCTGCTGCCACCTCTCATCTCAAGCATCTCTCCTCTTCTCACGTTGGTCCCTTCTGTCCTCATGTTGGTCCCTCATGTCCTAATGTTCACTGGCATCTTTCCTGTATATTAATACCGTGTCCTTCCACTCATTCAGATGAGCTCTTTCATTGCAGGTCGATTCCATGATTTCCGAGAACATGTCATCTTGCATCCTTTTTTTTCTCCGCCTTATCTGAGATACCCTTTGGGACGGAGGAGGGAGGCTTGAAAAATGTGCAGCTGCTGGAGGGAGGGAAAAAAGGGAGAGAGGGAAAAAAGGGAGAGAGGGAAAAAAGGTACATTTTACAGAACAATGCTTATTCTCTTTCACGGTGAACAACACTATTCACATTACATAGCACATGTGATTTCAGTGCAAGGTCGCATTTTGCATCTTAATTTTGAGTGCCTGTGGCTTTAGTGTTAGAGATCACAGACACAGGTCCAGGCAACAGAATTTGGCTTGCATGTGGCCACGGTAAGCCATTGTCTTTCGGCTTCTGCGCCCTCCTTTCCCACATACCAAGCAAAGCCCGTTGAGTGCTGCAGTTTTCCTGTTAACCTGCAGCAGCAGAAAACAAACTAACCCCCTCCCCATCCAGTTCTCTGGAATGATTGCTTTATCCCTCCCCCCACCGCGTGGCTGGTATCAGGGAAGATCCCTGCTAGCCAAACGCGAAAAGCTCACCGCCAATTACTCCCCCACCCCCTTGACTAACTACAGGGAAGGATTTCTTTTCAGCCCAGTAGGAATGGCCACCTCTGTCCCCTTAATTAAATTCCCGTATTTCAACCAGGTTACCATGAGCGATATCACTCTCCTGAGGATTACACAGCGAGATAAAGAACGGATGTTGCTTGAATGCCAGCAAACACCGGGACCATACGCTGCCAGGCTTTGTCATGCAATGATACTAGATTACTTGCTACTAGCATGGCGTGGTCAAGTGTCCTACCATGGAGGACGGAATAAGGCTGCACTGCCCAGAAACCTTGTAGAAGGGCTTTTGGAGTACCTCCAGGAGAGCTTCATGGAGATGTCCCTGGAGGATTTCCGCTCCATCCCCAGACATGTTAACAGACTTTTCCAGTAGCTGTACTGGCCGCGAATGCATCCCAAGTCCTCAGGGCAAATTAATCATTAAAAAACGCTTGCTTTTAAACCATGTTTTATATTTTAAAAGGTAAACTCACCTGAGGTCCCATCCATTTGGTCATGGTCTTGGATACTGCCTTGGGAGGGTTGGGAGGGTACTTCACTCAGGCTGAGAAAAAGATCCTGGCTGTTGAGCAGAACGGAGTGCTGTGTGCTCTCTGCAAGCTCATTCTCCTCCTCCTCCTCTTCCCCGTCCGCAGAATCCTCAGGTGTGGCTGAGATTACCCCCACCTTAGAATCCACGGTCAGAGGTGGGGTAGTGGTGGCGACCTCCCCTAGAATTTCATGCAGCTCAGCTTAGAAGTGGCATCTCTGCGGCTCTGACCCGGAGCGACCGTTTGCCTCCTTTGTTTTTTGATAGGCTTGTCTGAGCTCCTTAACTTTCACGCGGCACTCATATGAGTCCCTATTGTGGCCTCTCTCCATCATGCCCTTGGAGATTTTTTCAAAAGTTTTGGCATTTCGTCTCTTGGAATGTAGTTCTGCTAGAACTGAATCCTCTCCCCATACAGCGATCAGATCCAGTACCTCCCATACGGTCCATGCTGGTGCTCTTTTTCGATTCTCGGCCTGCATGATTACCTGTGCTGATGAACTATCTGTGGTCACCTGTGCTCTCCATGCTGGGCAAACAGGAAATAAAATTCAAAAGTTCGCGGGGCTTTTCCTGTCTACCTGGCCAGTGCATCCGAGTTCAGATTGCTGTCCAGAGCGGTCACAATGGTGCACTGTGGGATAGCCCCCGGAGGCCAATACCGTCGAATTGCGGCCACACTAACCCTCATTTTAAATGGCAATATCAATTTTGGCGCTACTCCCCTCATCGGAGAGGAGTACAGAAATCGATTTTAAGAGCCCTTTATTTCAAAATAAATGGCTTCGTTGTGTGGACGGGTGCAGGGTTAATTTGATTTAACCCTGCTAAATTCAAATTAAACTCATAGTGTAGACCAGGCCTTACACTGTCCTTCAAGCAGAAAGAAAGAGCAGGGAAAATAGAACAGCTTTCAGTCCTCCTGAGCTCCTTCTGTTCTCAGCTTTCAGTGATGGTTTGGATTTGTGTGTCCATATTGTAGGTATCATGCCTTCACTAAAGCATGCACTGCAAATTTCTACTGCTGCTCTTGTTATTGCAAAAACATTGGCTGCTGGATCTAGATTGGGCTTCATTATCTTGTGTTGTCAATCGGAAAAGAAAAAAAATAGTAAGTATTTCATCTCATTTCTCTTCACTCTTTGACAGCGTGTAAATTGCAAATAAACCTAAAATGTGCTTAATTTTTTTTGTATATGAAAACACAGGTGACAGAGTAGAGTAGATGGCAAATAGGTATGTGGTCTTCTGGCAGTATCTAATGGCACTGTATATGCCTGTACCAGGATACTTCAGTTATCTTCACTATACGTCAATTTTCATGTTCACATCTGATTAGATTTTTCTGAGAAATTCAAAAGCTTCTGGGTATCTTCAGTATTCCAAGGCCAGCATTTCCCAACCTGGGCTCCTAACGCTAGGGTCTGAAACCCATGTGAAGGCACCTAAATGAGTGACCCAATTTTCTTTCAGAAGTGCAGAGCAGACAGCAGCTCCTATTGATGTCAATAGAACCTGTGTTGCTGTCTTATGATGATGATACAGGTCTCCTTTGTGAAGTGCTTTGAGATCTTCTGATGAAGCCTTTATTATTATGATTCCTATGCTAGTGCCCCATCCACCTGACCCCGTTGTTTTAACTTACCTTAAATACTGATCAGCCTTTCCTTTCTCTCCCCTCCTCTCTTTCCCAGCTCATTTTAGTATCCAACTCCTCTGGGTTTCTCTTTAGCGGGTGGGCTACTGCACCTCATGCTGGTATGAGGCAACTTTCTCCCCAGGCCTCTCAGGCCTCTTAACAAAATACAGAGCTGATTCCTAGTATGGTATGGAGGTCCCCTAAACCTGCCCCACTTCCAGATTTCTTTTTAATTACACGCATACGAGGCTATAACGATGTCCTCACTTCTTTACAAAGTGAGAGGCATGGGCACAGCAACACTTTAAGGTCCTTTCCCCATTAATTCTCCTATAACTGACTAATAGATTAGGAGATCTATTAACACAGCCCTAATTAGTTATAGAAGTTCTTTTAAATATTAACTAGCATCACTCTCCTCTTGCGTGTGTGTGTATACTGAACTATCTCCATTCATCCTTTGATAAAGGGGATCTCTTCTGAGCTGCAAGGTTTTGCCTTATTGTAGAATCTGGTCCAACCTTTTCAATGCTTTTGGCCAGATGCTAGTTTTGGGGCACCTCCACGGGCCACATATGGACATATGTGCTCTACAAAATGGCATCTTCCATGCAGCATGACCTTGCATGTACAGTGCATGCCACGTCATGCAGGACGCCATTTTGCTCTACAATGTGGTGTCCACTATGGATCAAGCTCTTGGATGGAGTACGCCATGTTGTAGAGGGGTGGTGATGTCACTCACTAATGTATCTGTTGCTTTCATAGTGGGTAAGCTGTGGAGAGGGCCTATCATATTCATCCATGGGCTGGTGTGTGTCTTGGCCATCCTGATGTTCACTGCTGCTGTCCTCTGGATGTGGGAAGAAGGTAGGCCCACCCTGGTTCTCGTACTAAAGGGTGTACGTGCAGTGAATGAAGCAGACAGAACAGATTGCAGAAGGAAGATGAAACATACTCTTAGTCAAAGGAGCAGCTTCAGCTCTAGACACAAAAAGCAAACGCACCTTATTAATCTCATGCCTGGAAAATTCAGAGGCAGGATGTCACCCTGTGGCTGTAGCATGGGTTATATGGATTATAGAATCATAAAATCAGCAAAAGGGGAGAAAGGGCAGAAAAGGCGGGAGGCCACTGTACATATTCGAGATGGGAGATTTGAAATTAAAGCTCCATACAAAGTAAAGCTCTAACCAGCACTTACTCCCACAAGGTGGCAACCACTTTTTCATCCCCGGGCTCCTCCTGATCTTACTGCAGCCAATGAGCCAAACTTTTCCAAGCTTTTTCCCTAACATAGATGGGGCTACATCAGGGTATAAATCACACCACTTATAAGGCCCCCTCCCATGTCCTAAAATGGAGTCAGAGAGCCACTAGTAAGTAAACCTGGCTTCCCCCCTGGGGAGGAGAGATGTGCCCCTAAGATAAGTCCCCAGGTCAACAATTTTATTATAAAAACCAGAAGGAAGAGAGAGAAAGAAAGAAAATCAGTTCCAGCCCCTCCCATGTTGCCGTTCTGTCCCCAAAGCAGGACAGCATCAATATTCTGGACAGCACTTAAACACATAACTTCAAACGTGTGCTTAAATCCCATTGAAGTGAACTAAGGGCAGGTCTTCACTACGGGGGAGGGGTCGATTTAAGATACGCAAATTTAGCTACGCGAATAGCATAGCTGAATTCGACGTATCGGAGCCGACTTACCCCGCTGTGAGGACGGTGGCAAAATTGACCTCCGCGGCTCCCCGTCGACGGAGCTTACTCCTACCTCCGCTGGTGGAGTAAGCGTGTCGATTCGGGGATCGATTGTCGCGTCCCGACAAGGCGCGATAATTCGATCTCCGAGAGATCGATTTCTACCTGCTGATTCAGGCGGGTAGTGTAGACCTAGCCTAAGACCCAATCCTGCTACTTAATCCATCTTGGCAGACCTCCAAGGGGACTCCTTGTGGTTGTAGGGGTCTGCCAAGGCAGAGTGACTTGCAGGAGCAGAGCCTAATTGTAGGTACAGCAATTCTATTTTCATTCCCTATTTCTCCACAGGTCTCTCCACAGCCCTTGTATTGTATATGATCTTCCTCACGTGTGTGATCATGGTAACGCTTCTCATAAGTGCGGTCTTGTCAATTTGTCCCCAACACCTTGGGATGTTTAAAAAGCAAACAAGTAAGTAATAGGTTATTTGTACACGTACCTATATATTTATTACATTTAAGAAAAGGTTAGATAAACATCTGTCAAGGATGGCCTACGTATAATTACTCTTGCCTCAGTGTGGGCAGATGAACAAGAGGATCTCAAGGCCTCTTCCAGCCCTACACGTCTATGATTCTCAGAGTGAGTGATGTAGCTGTAATGTATTGTAGTGATTATCATTGGTTACATGACACATTTCTGGAAATGCTGAGCTTTGTTGGACAGTTGGTATGAAGCTTGACAACTAGACTCCCCCAGTTATTGGCCTTTGGCCTGTTTTTTTCCAATACCAGTTGTCCTCATATGAGCTTAACACTGTGCCCTACTTGTTGAAGGTAATAGACTTCTACATGCCCATCAGAGACACTAAGTACATATTCAGGCTGACTTGCCTCTCCCACGGCTGCACTGCTACTTTTAGCATAGTAGCGCAATGAGAGTGCAGGTCTGTCTCCTTGAGCTGGGAATCACGCCTCCAGCTCAGAGTATAGATGTATCCTACATGTTGAGGGCAAAATTTTGGCTGCCCGTGAGCATAGCTAGAGGGAGAAGAAGCTAAAAGGAAAATTTCTGCTCCTCACCCTTCATCTTTCAAGGAGCCAGACACAATACTGACCCAGCAATAAACTGTGCAGTTGGCTAGCATGCCTGCAGAATTCCATAGCCAGCAGGACTGTGATGCGGGCAAAGCCCCACACCTCCTGAGCAGCTGCTAGTGCAGCTAGTGCACCTTCATGGCAGCACATGAAGTGCACTTTGTACCTTTCCCCCTTGCTGGCTGATATTTAGTAATGTTTGCCTACACCTGCTTTGCCTTAAAATGTTAAACAAAGAAAACATATGTACAGAGAGCTTAACATCACATAACATGTTACAAAACTCAATAAACCATTGCAGACCTGTTGACTCCTATTGCTACTTGCTTCACTGAAGTCTCGTGAGCTGAGACTCACCATGGGTCACCTCAAGAATCCGGTTTAAAAGCTTTTGCAATTGTACAGGAAGCAGGAATGATCCTACAAACAAAGAGAAGAAAAAAACCAATTGTGTCAATCAAATATGGCAGCATTTTATTATTTCTTTTCTCTTTCCAAGTGTACCGGGTCATTCTGGATACTGCAGCTCCTGGGGAAGTGATTCTAGTTGTGTTGTTTGTCATCTTCCTTACACAGAACATCCAGCATCTCCAAAGTAAGCCCTTATCCTGCATGGATTAAAATTCATACTGTGTGGTTTCCTGCAAAGATGCATTTTTTTTAAAGGGACCTTATTTATATTTGGTGCAAAACAGAGTTTCATGTCCCCCCCCAGCAGCTGAGAATCCCCATAGCTCTCAATACTACAGGGACCCTTGGGCACAGCGCATCCTCTCCCATCTCCAGCCCTGTCTCCGGCTGGCCTTCTACACCGGGGCTTGCAAAGAGGCTGGCGTAGGATTGCTTCTGACACCTGTATGCAGTGTTGCATCAGGAGAATTCTCCCCTGCCAGCTTCAGGGCTTTTACAGCCCCTGAGGCCCAGCCATCGTGAAACCCAGAATCCCAGCTGCGGAACTTCCCCCAAGCAAATAAACAAGTGAAATGGTATTTCATTCCTGTCTTCTTTTGACCTCCAGGAAAAGGCTGGTCACCGTTTTTTGACAGCACAACTGCCACCCATATCGCTGCTGCAATGTCTCTCCTTATTCTTCTAGTGCCCTTTGTGTGGTGTAAGTATCAATCCTGCTCATTTCATGCACATTTTAAAGCCTTTTTAAAAATCACTGTTATACACCATACATTTTAAATATTCCTTATTTCCCCAGGAGTTATAAAGAAAAAGGTTAACTGTATAAAGTAAATAAGAAGGCAAGGGCAAGTAGATGAAATATACAGCCCATCTACCATCATTTAGTGCGAGCTGGGATGGCAAATATTTCTTTAACTTGGAATCTTCTTTGGGGTTTAAATTATAAATATATTTTTATACATATCTCAGACCTCCCTTAAAGTGAGATTCACCCCATTCAGAGAGCTAGCACCAGAGTCTATGTGTCACTGATGTCCCACTTACACCCTTTAGCTCTAACTTTCAACTGTTCCCAGAACCAGGCAGTCCAGGCTTTCTCCTTCTCCTTCCCTCCTCACAGCTCCTTCTGCTTATACCCTCACTCCCCCATATCTCAATGCAGCACAGCAGGCAGGGATAGGAGGCCAGTACAGCTGCTTCCCAGTCCTATGGCAGCACATTTCACCCCAGGAAGAGGCCATGGTATGAGGGAGATCGAGCCAGTAATTACAAAGCAATTCTGGGAGAGAAAGACTGAGAGGAACACTGGATCACTGTGGGAAGAGCCAGCTGATGGGCAAAGACAGGCAATAGCAAAGGGGAAAAAAGACATTGGTGACAATTACATGGTGTGCCGGTGCTGTTGCTTATGATTTCCTTTTGAAGGGACTAGGAGAGATTGCTATTGATCCTGTTGTGATGGGAGGGATCAGATCCCTTCCAGCACAAAATGATTTTATTGCCAGAGCTGCTGATACATGTTTGTATGATGATATAAATCCTCTAGCTTCAAAGCATATAGATTTCATTTTAGTGGAACAGGGAAATAATAAAGGATACACAGGCAGGTATGACTTTGATTACACCAAAATGCCAAAAACTAATCACTTCAGCCATACCTCTTCTTTACAAAAATGTTTTGCACGTCTTCCTGTTTTCTCTAGTATTGCGTCAAGACAATAGTCTCCTGGAATTTGGATCAGAGAACCACTCACTCTCAGATCCCATTTTCTGAAGGGTTCTAGTTTCACTCTCACACCACAGAGGCTCCGGTGACTTTCTCAGTGTAACATCTTTTCCTTCTACTGGGTTTGCTGTTTATATAAAGAACTAAGGCGGGGTTAATCTGTCTATGCTTTCCAGATCACAGGAAGAAAAAAAGCCAAGAAAAGGCTCAGCAAGAAAGAGAACCTGCAGAAGTAAGGATGCAATGCCCCAGAAAACCTTTTCATTGGACTTTGAAAATATTCTCATTGGTTCTCCATAGTACAGTGAAAACTGAGAGATCCCTCAATTCAGCCAGAACATTTTTGAGCTTCCAGTTCTTCAAAACACTTTACAACTGCTTGTTTAAATATATAGAGATACACACACACTGAGGATTATTGTTTAATATTGCACAGTAAAACACCACATCTCTTTAGGCCAGGAAGGGAAAAATTTCACATGCAGTTGAAAAGCTGAGAATTTCTGGAAGCAAAATGTAATGAAATAAGATGGACTGTAGCCAGGACAGTGGGATCAGCTCTGCTGCTTTTCCAGTGGCACTTGTTATATTTTTCATGACCTGGCAGAGAGGAGTTGTGAATTTTGCATCTGCTCTGGATGACAATGCATCCAGGAACACAATGTCTCCATCACTATGCCTGGCCATCAGTGCAGTTCTGACATCAGGCTAGATTGTAGAGGTGGTAATATTCAATTTCGTGCCCAACCCCCTGCAACTGAGCAATAGCTTCTTGCTCTTGGAAGGAATTGTATCCCATACAGAAACACCAATGTTAGTTCAGGCAGTACCTGTTTTTGTCCTGGAGCTGCCTTCATCAAGCGCTCTCGTTCCCTCTGCTGTTCAAGGAAGTGTCATGCATAGGCTCCTGGAAGATGTCCCTTTGTTGTCCAGGACCTGGAGGTAAGGTGTGAAGAAATCAGAGGTGCAGCACAGGAGAACAATTAGCACACAAAAAATCATATTGCATAATCAGAAAGAGATGCATTTGATTTGCCACCAAACTATGCTGTCGCCTTCCTGTGATATTGTTAGTGACAAAATTAAGCTAAAGGATTTTAAAACCATGAATTGAAAGGTTAAAAGGTATCAGTATTTTTTAAAAATATGAACTCAATTTAAAAGATAAAACTACTTCTAAAACAGCAATATAAATATAATCCAAAGCAAAGAACGAAGAAGTTATTGAATTAAGAAATAATGCTTATGTGTCAGCATTTGCGATTGATTAAATGTCAAAGGATAGCTGAGACATCGGATAAATTGCAAGTTCCATTTACGTAGACGTTTAAAGCTTGAGATTGCTTCCTGTTGGAGAGGTATTAACTGAATCCTGGCTTGGGCTAAATACATTTCAAACTTGAATATTATCAAGTCCACAGGTAGCAATCTCAAATTATTACAATTTATTATACTGAGGTATACTCTTTCCTCTTAGCATGGCTATTGTGAATCGTTCTGCTCTGAACTCTCTGCTTCTGTACTCCTATAACCATGTGACACCCCCTAATCCCAAACTTCCTGATATGTTACCCAACTCTTTCCAATCAGAATGCAGAGAACTGCACCACTGAGAGATGAATATAGTTGTGGCTCAGTCCCAGAGTTCCCTAAATTGCTGGAATAATTCTAGCTCATCATAAAGACTTGTATTCAAACCCCATCAGCATTCTTACATAAATAAATGAGAAAGGTGCATTGAAAATGGTACATATTGTCTGGGCTGGTCTACACTACCTTGGTAAATCCATCTAACTTATGCAACTTCAGTTATGTGAATAACGTAACTGAAGTCGACATAGTTAGATCCATTTATAGCGGTGGCGATGGAAGAGTGTCTCCCTTTGACTTCCCTAGTGCTTCTCGGGGAGGTGGAGTACACAAATTGATGGGAGAGTGCTCTCCCATCAATTTAGCATGTCTTCACCAGACCTGCAAAATCAACACTCGCTGCATCGATTGCAGCAGTGTTGATCTACCGGTTAGTGTAGACATACCCGAATCATTCAGAAAGAGGTTGGTCCATAGAGCTGTTCTGTGAAATATGTTTTGGTGAGTTACTCCCCGTTCTGTTTACAACAGAAAAACTTCAAAAACAGACTCCAACGAGAGACTGCTA